AGGATACGATTTCCGGAATACGCATTACTGATTGGAATCGACTCATCAGACAACGGAAATGGGATCGGGCAAGTCAAGGCAGTTTTTTGTATGTGTATTATATTATTTGATTTAGTTGATAAGTTTGTTTGATGTGTGCATTGTTTTGCGTTTTGGTGTGTTTAGAGATACTGTCAATTACGACAAAGGAGCGGGCACGAGCAACCTTATTGTGGGACGGCCGAAGACACGATGGTGGGATGATGCGCTGCAGCACGCACAGCAAACGGCCCAGGATCCGCCAAAGACCGCGACGGATTTGTTGGCATGTGCAGCAACAAAGGAGTGGGGAAGGTTGACATGAGGCTTCGCTGCGCAGTGGGTGGCGCATTACTGCTTATCACCCATTCAGCACCTCTTCTAGACCTATGCTTTATCGCTTCCGCTGCCCTGCCCCTCGCTCCTCGCTCCCCCTCCCTAGTTTCACCCTGCCATCCTTCCGCGGCGCCCTGGCGCCCCCCTGCAGCGCCCCCGCGGCGTCGGGACGCAGGCCGCATGTCCGGATGTCCCAGAAGTCCACGACCTGGCATCGCTCGGACGTGTGCATTTTTTCTCGGCATGGGCCATCGATGAGCATCCTTGATCATTTTGCGAAAAACCACGCACGAGACCGAAAAAAACACAGGGAATGGACGTCCGAGCGATGGCCAGGGATATGGATGTAAATCGCGCCTGCACCCTCTCCTCGAGCTGAACGCTGGCATGCCTCAGCCCTCGTGAAGCATGCCCGCACCGCGTCTGTCGCAGCGTTGCTCTGTCCACGGGCGAGCGAGCCAAACGGTCCAGCACCAGGCAGGGATACCCACACCATCCCGTTTGGGATCACCTCGGACTGCCTCGATGAGATTTGCTGCCCACCTCTTCTGAGGTGGGATGTCCCCGAAGCCCCGGACACGCATCGGGGGGCTCGGCTTCACTTTTTTTGTCACCCCCCTGGAGGCGGCTGAGTTTTGGGAGAGGGGGAGGGTGAGGGGGAGGGGGACAAGCTAGGTGCGCTCGCGTCATATCTGACATCCTACCCCTCCCTCCCATCCCTTGCCATGGCGTAGATCCCCTCTCTACTCGCACAGTCGGATGTCGAGCAGGGCAATGATCCCGAAAGGGTACGCGATGCATTGTAGAGCACGGCATGGCATGGCGTAGAAGAGCACCGCAAAGCGTAGTATCAACCTAGCATTGCATTGCACGCCGTGGCATGGCACGGGAAATGACGCCAGCGCTGCAGCGGGAGCACGAGTCGAAACGAGCGGAAGCGCGGAAATGAGGCCAGCGCTGCAGCGGGAGCACGATTCGGAACGAGCGGAAGCACGGAAATGAGGCCAGCGCTGCAGCGGGAGCACGATTCGGAACGAGCGGGGCCCGAAAATGAGGCCGGCGCCTCCGCGAGAGCAGCATTTTGAAAAACAATGCAGGCGAAAACCCAACTCCGGGGAATCCTGTGTGTAGAAAACAGTACGTGGGGGGGGGCTAACACTTTCAAGCCGTCATCAGGTGAAGAGGGAGAGTAGTATTTATTCATGAGTAATTGTGGAGGAGGAGGAGGAGGAGGAGAGAGAGAGGAGGAGGAGGAGGAGGAGGGGGGAGGAGGAGGGGGAGGAGGAGGAGGAGGAGGAGGAGGAGGAGGAGGAGGAGGAGGAGGAGGAGGAGGAGGAGGAGGAGGAGGAGGAGGAGGCGGAGGAGGAGGAGGAGGAGGAGGCGGAGGAGGAGGAGATTGTGCTTCGCCTAGCGCCGGCTCCTTGCGCTCCCGACGGCCAGGGGCGACGGGCCCGCAGTGCCCGAGCGAACCTCGGCCAGCCCCTGTCGGCGGCGCGCCCGGGGGGAAGTGAGAAGGAGAAGGCGCTCTCAGAAGGTGGCAGGGCTGCTCAGAGGCCTCCCTGTCTTTCTGAGAGATTTTAGATTGTCTTCGGGGAAGGCTCAGAAAGCTTCTCAGAAGGCCAGGGGACTTCCGAGCCTTCTGAGAAGGCCCGCCCCTTCTCACTCGCCCCCCCCCCCGGGCGCGCCGCCGAAGGCTGGATACGAGAGACCTCGGCCTGAGCCCTTGTGCCGTCTGGAGGGCAATCTGAGGGCTGTCTTAGGGGCCATTTTGGCCGTGTTGGAAGCGTTTGGGGACCGTTTTGGGTTTTCAGATCTTTCTTTCGGCCACCGTAGCCGTTTTGGATGACTTCTTGGCCATCCTGAGGCCGTCCAGAGCGGGAAGACCGACGACCTGGGAAGTTTTTATGGGTCTCTCCAGGTGGCCGGCCAGCTGGGCTGGAGGCCAGTGCCCTTTCGGCGGCGAGCCCTTGGGACAGTGGGAGGAGGCAGGCCTTCTCAATAGCCGGCGGGGTTTCTCAGACGCCCTATGGTTGTGGAAGTCGGTTAATGGAGAGGGAGCATGCTGCCAAAAAAATCCAATGTCTAAAACATAGTTCAAACATGTTTTAAGTATATAGAAACATGTTTGAAACATTGTTAGAATATGTTTTACACATGTTAAACACATGTTTAATTCAATGATCGGATTGTTCGAGTGACCCTTGCCATGGCATCCACAACCCTATGGCCTTCTGAGGAGCCGTCTGTGGTCTTCGGAGCAGGCCTGCGAGACTTCTCAGAAGGCGCCAGGGCTTCTGTGAAGCCCCACCGCCGTCTCAGGAGGCATTCCTCATATCACTTCCCCCCGGCTTCTGCGCCAAAATCCATTTTCAAGATTCATAAACATTCACCGATGGCAGCGCGCCCCTCCCAAGAACGATGTGGAGAACCCCCGCTTCATATACATTTCCAGTACCAGCGAAGAGGTCCTCAACTGGCCCCAGCAGGACCTCCAGGAGGCCGAAATCAATGTATGTTTCCAGTGTTCTCCACTGATTTTGGCAGTCTGACCTTTTCAGGCTGCGGACGCTCCAAGACGGGCCCACAGGCCCCGAGATCGCCCCAAGACAGCCCGAGAGGCCCGCAAGACGGCCCAAAAGGGCCTCAAGACAGCCCAAGCGGCCTCGAAGACGGCCCCGGAAACCTCCAAGACGGCCGCCGCGCAGGCCCCCCGAGACGGTCTCCGGAGGCGCAGGGAGACCGTAGACCCATGCAGGCCCCGCAGGAGGCCTCCAAGAGGTTTCCGAGGGGCCGCAGGATCTTGGGCCCCAGGAGGCTCCCAACGAGGCCCCTCGGAGCCCTCCAAAGAGGCCCCTCGGAGCCCTCCAAATGAAGGCCTCAAGCGGCCTCCTCCTCTTCCTCCTCCTTCCCCTCCCTTCCCTGCTCCTGTCTCTTCCTCTTCCCAGTGTTCCCTCCTCCTCTTCCTCTTCCTCTTCCCCTCCCTTCCCTGCTCCTGTCTCTTCCTCTTCCCAGTGTTCCCCGAGGGGGGAACACGCAGTCCAATAGCTTGGTAGCCTGGCCAGACTTCGGCCCAACGCTCGGCCGCGCGGGCGCTTTCGAGAGGCAGCGGGCGGCGGTGATTCGCCGCAGGCGTCGTGGAATTACTCAATCCCGAGGGACTACAGTTATGTTGCTCTCACCTTACTTAAGGACCACATCCCAGAAATAATGTCGAGCACCCGGAAAAGTGTGAAGAGTGTCGAAAGAGTGTCGAAACAGTGTTTCCCAGGGTCCGACACGTGAAAACCCTTGAGTGTTTTTTGTATGTTTCTGGTGCTCGATTTTTTTGGTGATCAAACATCATAGGACTACAGGGGACCTGAGAGCACTCCAACTCGTGCCTCGCGGAACGGTGGCCGATGAGACGCCGTGATTGACTCCCCTTCCGAACCTCTGTCAAGTCCTGCCCACCGGCGCCCCAGGGCCGAGGTTCGTGTCTCCGTCACGTGCAGTTCAGGGCTCGCCGCAGGGCGCCCGAGTGCTGCAGCTTCTCTTGATGCCTGCAGCTTCGGGGGCCCCTAAACGGGGCGGTGACCACACCGTGCGGGGAGTCTCTCCGAGGACGCCTCGGGCGACGGGGGCCTCCGCGGTCCCGAAACCGTGCGGCGACGGACCGTGCGGTGAGGTCCTGCGGGATGTCGAGGTCATTCGGAAGCCAGGCAAGGGCTGCTAAATCCCTAAATCCGTGGCTGCTAAAATCGACCTCCGGGAAGTTGTCTTCGTCCTGCCGGGAAGAAGCCCGTTGACTGTTTCGCGTGCCGCGCCTCATTCCGGGAAGTTTTTTTTTCCTTCCGGGAGGGCCGTTTTAGCAGCCATGGTTTTAGCAGCCCTCGCCCAGCTTTCGGGTCACCGCACGGTCTGTCGCCGCACCGTCGTTTCGGGACTCCGAAGCAGCTGCTCCGTGAGCCGGCACTCCTCCCGCTCACCTCCTGCCGTGCCGCGCTGGAGCCCGCCCCCCGAGCTGCCGACGGGTAGCTCGCTGTATAGTCGGGGCGCTGTACAGTCGGGGCCCTAGGGCCCTTCGTTTGGGAGGAGGCCAAGGCAGCGACACAGCCACCCTCGCCTCGTGTTCCCCCTCTGGGGCCTTCTGGGAGGCCCTCGTCGCAGCCGCTGGATTCGCCTCGAGATCCTGGACAGAGCGCGCCCCGGGAGAGGTCCGGGGGAGTAATTAGCGGCATTGGTACAGTCGGGGCGCTGAAGAAGGAAGCGTTTTCGTTGAGGAGGGGCTCCGTGTTTTGTTTCACAGCTTGCCTCAGGTTTTCCTTGGGTTTCCGGTGGAAAATCGGAGTTCAACTCATGGAAAAAAGGGGCCTCCGTTCCTATCTGGGGCTCCTTAAGTCGACGCCCCGACTGTGGCGGGGGCTTCGCGCGGGGGAGGGGGGGGGAAGGGGGGGTTACCAGCCTGGAACATATCCCTATCCCTATGCTGGGCACCTCCTCATCACGATGCCAATCTTCTTGGGAGTTCCTTATGTTTTGACGGCGAATCCCTAAGATTGTCATCGTCTTTTGGCGTGTCAATCTCAGGGATAGGGATACGTTCGAGGCTGGTAAGGGGGGGGGTCGCGCGGCCGGGGGCTCCGCCGCTCGCGCTACCAAGCGCGCAGGAAGACATCGCGTACAGCTACGAGCGCGACGCGGACGGCAACGGCGACCCGTTTTGGGGAGCTCCAGAGAGGGGCCACGACTTCGAGGAGTGGAGAGGTTGGCACCTTTCTCTCGGCGGGGGGTGGCAGCAGGGTGGTGGAAGTTGGTCGCCAGCTTCCGTCACCTTTCCGCCTCCCTTCTCGGCAAGGATTATTCAGGAGCATCCCTGATCATTTGGCGAAAAGACCACGCTCGAGACCGACAAATGCACGGGAAATGGACGTCCGAGCGATGGCAAGTTTGGGAGCTCCAGGAAGGGGCCACGCTTTCGAGGAGTGGAGAGTTGGCACCTTCATTTCGTCGGGGGGTCACCACCCACCAAACCACCCCAACCCAACCCGAAGGCTTCAATTTGCTATCCATTTCCAGTGGGGGGGGGGTCGGGGAACACTGACAAAAACACATGGAACCCGTACCCCTATATAGCCCTACCAAACAATGTTCTAACAACCTTCCTTGGTTTCCACGAAATGTTCTTAGAACATTTCTGGCGGAGTCTGTTTTGTAGTATCACATCGGGCTTATGTTCTAAGAACATGGCTTTTGTTCTTAGAACACTTTTGGGTTGCAAGAACATTTCGTGGTAGGACTATAGGAATGCCGGGACGGTCGGTCCCTGCTCAAGAAAGGGGCCATGCTTTCGAGGAGTGGAGGGGTTGGCACCTTTCTCTCGGCGGGGGGGTGCAGAAGGCTGGTGGAAGTTGGTCGCCAGCTTCCGTCACCTTTCCGCCTCCCTTCCGCCGCACCTCTTCGGCGGGAGGTGGAGGCAGAGGCGGCCTCGCTTCCATTCCGCCAGCTGCTGGCGGAGGTGAAAAGCGGCCGCCTCCGCCAGCGGAAGGCCGACGCAAGTAAATGATGCGCGCCCAAGAGAGGGCAGCATTTTTAGTGGCCTCAGGGTTTCCGGCGCCTCTTTCTTGGCGGAAGGTGGCGGAAGGGTGGCGGAAGGTGTCCGCCAGTCTCTGCCACCTTTCCGCCACGTTGCATCAGCGGAAGTTTGGAGGCCGAGGCCGACTCCGCCAGCGGCAGGCTGGCGCAGGTAAAAGATGAGCGCCCAAGAGGGTGCAGCTTTTTGTGGCTTCAGGGTTTCCAGCACGGGCCACGTGAGCGGCGCAACAACACACAAGGTCGTCTGCATCAACATTGGCGCGTAACTTGCCCGCGTAATGTCACACGTAAGCGCCCTTGTTTCCATTGTGGTGCGCCGCGCTGGCGGCCCACGTGAGCCGCGGCGCAAGGTCGCCGATTCATCCCGCGTAAGACTCGTTTTTGATAGCCGCTCATTTGTTCCCAGATCTCAGAGAGGATCCGTTGTTTGTTTTAAAGCGGGCACTGCTTTAGATTTCGGCCATGAGCCATGCATGTATCTTGGAGGCGAACAGCTGCATCCGCGGAAGGGGTCGGGACTTCGAGCCCGCGCATTGAACAATTCTTGGCGTCGGATGCTTGGGCCTTCGACCCCACGCCACCCACATGTCTATACAGGTCCCACGGTCGTCCGCGAAGACAAAGCCACAGCTCGGTTGGGCGAGGAGGAGCACCTTCTCCGCGGCATTGTTGCACCTGTCCCTCGAGTCTTGCCCAATAGAACCCACGCAGGGATAGCCGCATCCTACGTGGGCGAGGAGGACATCCTCCTCCGAGGTATCGTTGCATCTCTCCTTCGAGTCTGTCCTCAATGGGGCACGCGCAGGGATGTCCGCAGCTCGAGTTGACGAGGAGGATGTCCTCCGCGGTATCTTTGCCTCTCGCCCTCGAGTCTTTCCCTGACAGGCTGTGTAAGCGGAGCGTGCTGCGTTGGTGGTTGCAGCACGGCGTGTCTAGATGAGTCAGAACCCAGTATTTGTAGTCGGTTGGCAGGCGGTGTTTGAGAGGAGTGAATGCCCCAGCAGCGTCCTTCGCTGGCACAAGCTTGCACAGCAATGCCCTAGCCCAGGCATGTGCGGATAGAGTGAGGGAGCCGTGGGGGGGTCGCCGGAAGTTCATGAGGCTCGAAATACAAGTTGAAGACACTTGCCGCAGGAGCATATTCTTTCGTCAAGTCAACGCGTGTGGGTCGCGTCGCGGGTGGGTCGCGGGGGAGTCACGGGTGGGTCGCAGGGCAGGTCAACATGTTGGTGGTATGAAGGCCGCCACATCAGCGTCGCAGCCAAACGGAACATGTGTCCAGATATGTTGCAACCCCCCGACAACCTTGCTCACATTCTTCCGCAAGGCAAATATTCGACGTACGCCTGAAGTGAAACACTCCGCTGTGATACGACATCTCCTTGAAACATATCTGCTCCACCTGTGAGGAACAAGAGGGACAGGAGGAGGAGGAGGAAAAATAACAACAAAGCGTCGCAGGCAAACGGGGTAGATTTCGCGGACAATCTCGCGTAAGGTGTCCGCGCAAGGTCGCGCGAAAGCGCTCTCCTTTCCATTGTCGCGTGCCGCGCTGGCGGCCAGCGTACGCCACCGCGCAAGGCCGCCACGCCGTCGCACCTGTCATGGGGCGTAAGACCCGCTTCTTTTCGACGCTCGCGTGTCTCCCAAGGAGGCCACCAGCGAGCTCGATCGAGTTCCGTTTTTCAGGCTTATGATGTTCCAGCCTACTTTAGCCTTGACCACCAGAAAGAGTTTCGAGCGCCAGAACAGTACCCAAAAACTCAAGGTTTTCACGCGTCGGGCCCTGGGATACACTCGCCCGACACTGTTTCGACACTCTTTTAACACCTTTCTGGGTGCTCGATTTTTTTGTTCTGGGAAGTGGTCCTTAAGTACGATGGGAGCAACATAATTGTAGGCAAAAGTCTGGCGGCGAGGAGTCGCGGGCGAAGCTCGTGGGCGAAGGGCACATCCGTGTCCGCGGAATCGCGGGCCGGGCCGTTGGGCCGTTGGGCCCCGCGTCGGGAGCCTCGAGACGGGGTTCAGTGCAAACGGGGGTCAGTCAGGGCGCTGGATCTTGCGCTGGGATTAGGGCGCTTATCCTAACCAGGATGTAAGTAGGATAGAGCAAGTTGTTTCTAAGTACTTAGGCTAAGTGGGTTAGTGGACATGCCCGAAGCAAGCTAAGTAGATTAGCGGGAAGGGTGGTAAGCTTACGCAAGAGAGTTGCTAAGTAGGTTAGGGGGAGCGGGCGCTGGATCTTGCAGAGCCAGGGTCGCACTGACCCGGGCTTGGGTGCGAGATGCTGCAGGGTGCTGCAGGGCCGGGGTCGCATTGACCCGGGTGTGGGAACGGGATCCTGCAGGATCCTGCAGTGCCTGACTGGCCCCGGTTTGGGTTGACCCGGGTCGGCAGATCTCCGACTCGCGGACTTTTTGGTCTGCGGGTCGAGAGTGGGCCTCTTCCGGTTAAGAGCTAGGCGGGGCGCGCAAAGCACTAATTGGGGAGACAGGGCGCGGGCGGGCGGGGCCTCAGGCGGCCGGAGTGCGCGGGGTACAGGCGGTGCCGAAGAGCTTGCACAGGAAAAGGTACGCCTTGGACAGGAGCCGGAGGCGATGTCCCGGAGGGCCCGACTCGCGGACACGCGGCGTTTCTTTTGCGGACGCCCCGTGCGGAGCCTATCCGTAGGACAGCGCATCCGCAGGATCGCGCCCCAGAATCCAGACCGCGAGGGCGCTGCTGCGGACGTGTTCGCCGCTCGTGGGGAGGCTGCCCGGGCCCACGGCCCGCCCCGAACTGTTGCAGCAGAGCCTTGGCATCGCTCGGACGGGTGCAGTTTTTCTCGGCGAGGACCATCAAGGACCATCCTGTTCCATCGAGCAAAAAAAAACACACGCACGAAGCCAGAACATGCAAGGGAAATGGACGTCCGAGCGACGGCAAGGAGCTCCTCGACAGCCTGCTGGCCTTTTTGAGACGCTGTCGCAGTTGTTGCCGCCGCCCCCCTCCCGGGTTCAGCGAGCTACACTCGAGCCTCCTGCCCAGACTTCCGACGTCACGACCTTTCCCAACCATGCTGTGGTGTGGTGTCTTCGCTTTCAGTATGCATCGCCCCGCGTCTCCTCCTTCCTCCCTCCCCATCCTCCCCCCTCCCCCTCCCTGCCTCTGCTCTTCGTACTCTCTGCTTCGGCACACCCCTCACACGGTTCGCTGCCCCGACACCAGTGACGTTTTCAAAGCGTCGATGCCGGAGGTCTCGACCCATTCCCTGGGACCAGCTTCGCATCCTGAGTCCTTGTCTGGCAGCCCCGTGACCCGGCGTGGGCCCCCAGAGGCCGAACAAAGATTATAGCCAGTGTCCAGCAATTCCAAAGTGCATTTTTGGAGCCAATATTCATGATGTTCCAACCTGTTTTAGCCTTGATCACAAGAAAGAGTTTCGAGCACCAAAAAGGTACCGAAACTCAAGGGTGTTCACTTGTCGGGCCCTGGGAGACACTCGTCTGACACTTCTTCGACACTCTTTCGACACTTTTCCGGGTGCTTGGAATTATTTCTGGGATGTGGTTTTTAAGTGCGATGGGAGCAACATAAGCCAAGGTGGTTCCTCAGAGTTTCCGCCCGTTTTTTTGCTCCTGATCCGACTGCGCCCTCTACGTTATCATCGAATTTTTATGAATCGTCATCGTCCTTCTCCGCATCCGCGTCGTTCTCCTTCTCGCCTTCGCCCTCCCCCCTTCCACTACGCCCTCTCCTCATCATCCTTCTCCTCTCTTCGTCCCTCTCCTCCTCGTCATCCTGCTCATCCTGACCCTGCGGGTCCTCTTCCCCCTCCTCGTCCTCCTCCTTCCATACCTCATCGTATCATTCACCCCTCCCTTATACGAATCCTCCGCATCCTCCTGGTGCTATTCTTCCTCGACCTCATCCTCCTCATCCTTTTTTTCATCATCGATTCCCTCTTGTTCCTCCTCATGCTCCTCCTGCTCGCCGTGCTCCTCCTTGTGTTCCTCGTATTCATCGTGTTCCACGTTCTCCTGCTCCTCTTCGCAGTGCTCCTCTTCCTGCTGTTCCTCGCAATGCTCTTCGTCCTCCTCCTCGTCTTCGTCCTCCCCATCATCTTCCTCTTCCCCCTT